CAATCTCCAATCTCGATTCGGGGGCCCGGGGGAGGAGGGGGGCTCAAACCTTCAAGGAGATGCGCTATGGACTCATTCACAATGCAAAAGGATCTCCAGACTCCACCCTCTTTTCGCGCCATTTTGCAATCTCCAGTCGGCCCACACGATCTCTAGGCGCCTTTGGCGCGAAGTCAGAATCTCCACCTCTGTCGCAAGATCTCAAGCGACTGCACGCACCAACTCGACATCTCAGACTCCTCTCGAGCATCTACACCGGAGAAGATTTGCCTCCACCAGTTCTTCAATCTACTGCTGCTCTTGGCAGGAGATTTGCCACTTATCTGAGAAAGGCATTACGATCTACAGTCCAAGGATCTTCCGATGTTGGGTAGAGATGTCCATGTATGGGGCGGATGGGTGTGGCGCCGGGAAAGCTGGGCCGGTTCTGGACGACACGCCGTGGAGGGGGCTCACCCACACACCTCACCAGTCCCTCTGCGGCGGCTGTAGCGCCCTGCGCCGTACGCCGCGGCGCGGGACGTGTGATGCGATGTGTGCGACGTGGGGGGGGGGCCGTGGCGCGGGAGACACGTCGTGTGCAATTCTCAACACAAAACAACGCGATATGCCTAAACCATGGGACTCGCCTGGGCACGGTTTACTCCGAGGGGATGTCACTCTAATAAGACCCTTCTCATGCACTCAGGCCCTTCAGGCTCCACCACTCCCCTGCAGGCGGCAAGAATGCCAGAGCTGCGCTGCGGAAAGCGTCGACGGCCTCCTTATCGGAGAGGACCGGCGATGGCGGCGACATGGGCGGCGACGGTTCGTCACTGCATCGCTGCTCGCCGCCGTCGGCCAGGCGCGGATACCAGCAAGACGCCACGAAGGTGGAGATCGCAAGCGATGATGACCAGCTGCCACGCGACACCTCAGACGAACGCCGAGCCTCGCACGAGCTCAGAGCGCTCCACATGGTTGGACCGACGACCACAGCAGTGCCTCCTTGAGTCTCTCCCAGGCGAAAAAAATAAATTAGAACACAACTAGGCCTCTCTTGCCCGCATCCCGATCCCGATCATCTGGCCCGCTGGGTGTGCTTCTTAGCCCCCCGGCCCTGGATGTGAGGCTGCTAACTGCACTCCAAGTGCTCCAAAACGATCAGAAAGCTGAGTGACAGGAGAGAGAACGATTTTTGAAAACCAACAAGATATCACGACTCTCTCTCGACTCTCACAGTGATTTGGGCTCGCGGCAGCTTGTCAGCGCTCAGCCGAAGGCAGGCGAAGCTGGGGCCGCCGCGCGCCGGTCCCGTACAAGCCGACAACAGCGGAGAGAGCCGAGCGAGAGAGCCCGGGCGTCTCTGTTGTCGCGTCGATGAATATTGAACTCGACGCGGTCGGGAGGCAGCCCTCGCAAATGCGACCGTCCTCGCAGCCGACAGTCCACCGCCTGCTAAAGAAGCACTGCGACGAATGCGGCACCAGCGAGGCATGGCAGGCTGGTCATGACGCAGTTATAGTTGTGGTGGCTGGTGCCGTCAGAGTGACTCTCTGTGTGTCAGGGATAGTCAGGGCCGTCCATCAGAGCTCCAGTAAGCTCGGAGACACCCCATTAGTGCGACTCGACCTCTTTGAGTCACTGCCTTCCCGGCGGTTTGGCGTAGAGCCTCTACAACAAACTCTACAGCAAAATCGCGCTCTACATCGCTCTACAACGCAGGCGCCTCGTCACGCAGCCGATGTAGAGCTCTACAGCTCTACAGCGCTCTACAGCGCTCTACAGCTCTACAGCTCTACAGCTCTACAGCGCTCTACACTCTACATACATCCTCTACACCCTCGCCTCCCTCCCCTCAGGATCGCTCTTCGTTCATGGTGCCCTTCGGCGTGGAGGGTGACAAGCTGCCGAGCCCAAAATATGGAAAGGCGTGTCGTGCTTTCTTGTTGGTTTTCAAAAATCTCTCTCGGAAGAAGACTGCCGAGGCCAAGCAAGTCACACAAACACAAACAAGTTCGCCCCTCCCTCGGTGCACGGTGGGGCGCGGGGCGGGTGACTAGCTAGCCAGAGAGAGGTCTTAGGATGCGACGAATGCCTGTGAAGGGGAGTTGGCGAGGCCAGAGGCAGACTCAGCTGCTGTCCCCGGAAAGAAGCCCGAATTCTTTTTAGTGGCTCCCGTGGTGTACCTGTGTTAGTGCCAGTGCGCGCCAGTCCCGTGCCCAGTGTTGTGCGATTTGGAAAAAGAAAGAAAGAAAACACACAACCCAAGGGAGGGATTTGGAGCACTTGCAGCACTTAACTCTAAAATTCTTTTTAGTGGCGTCGCTGTAGTGGCGCTGTCGACATCTCCGTTTGCGGCGCGACGAGGCGCCCTTGTCCACTTCTATCTCTTAACAACATGCGCCTCCCGCGGCTGCTCGCGATGCGGCACGTCAAAGTGCTGCCCGACGTGTGGCGGATGTGCGCCTTCACCGTCTGCCTCTCGTTCCTTTTGTGCCACATCTACAATCCGATCCGCAGGGCGGTGAGGGATGGGCAGAAGAAGACGCTAATCTACTACCTCTTCCAGGACTGCGACTCCTTCTTCAACATGTGCACGTCGTTTGTCACCTTCATCCTCTCCTTTTTCAACGCCACCGTCTTCACGCGCTGGTGGAAGCTGCGCGAGCTGTGCGGCACCGTCAACGGGAAGACCGTCGACACAACGGTGATGCTCTCGGCGTACATCAAGCGGCGCGAGGACTACGAGGAGCTCCTGCGGCTGCTCTGGCTGGCGCACGCGCTGCATGTCACTTCCATCGACCCGCTCGTCACTAGCGACCCGGAGCACGCCATGGAGCGCGTGCTGCGCGGCCTGCGCGAGGACGGGCTGATCGCGGCGGAGGAGTGCGAGGCGCTGCGCCCGACCACACTCGCGACCTCGACGCCACTTTCGATCGCGTACGGCTGGTTCACGTGCCGGCTGCGCACCGCGATGCTGCGAGACGTTCCTCCCTCGCTCCACTCGGGGCTGCTGCAGATCGTGCAGGCCAACATCAGCGCGATGCGCGGCGCCGCCTCAGACGTGCTCATGTACCTCGGCACGCCGGTGTGTGCCGCCTCCCGCGCGCTCGCAGCCGCCTCATCGCGACCCCGCCCGCAGCCGTCTTCTCCTCCCCTCAGATGCCGCTCGCGTACACGCAGCTCCTCGAGCTGATGGTGACAATCTACGTGCTGATGGCGCCTCTCGGGCTGGCAA